ATATAAATTTTTTTCTTACAATGGTGGACAAAGTGAGAAAGGAGTACAGTGTTAAATTAACAATCTGGCTGCACAGATTTTGACAATTTAAAGTGGTTGTGTTGTTAGGCTACATGCTTTTATTGTTGTCAGAAATCATTGTAAACAAGCTCATATAGCGAGTCCTGTAGTTCTTTAAGTATTGCCCATTAGCTAATTTTATTCAAATAAAATATTAATATGTAAATATTTTGCAAATTTTGATCTATATTCGATCTATCTTCATTGCTTCTGTTTAACCCCGTCATGGTTGTTAGGTGACAGGTCATACGCCGTGATAAGGGTGAGAAAAAAGCTAAAGGCTAGATCGACCAAAKTCACARCCACTTTCTTCTGGTTTTCMCAGTCATCATAGGACCCTGCCCACATAGGCCGAGTAGGCTGGGTCCTTCGAAGGRTTCAGCATCTGAATTTAGACACAACTATTTACTAAATTTCTTTGTGTCAGAGCCAAGTAAAGAATTTTAGATTGCTAATATTAACTAGCTAGCTTTTCTAACATCACTTACACATAGCTGACCTTTGTGCTTTCTTTCTAAGTGACAATAAAAGTTTGACGTAGTCCCCGCTGTCTCTGAAAGTGAACTACTTCAAAACTTACAAGCTGCTGTGTGCTTTATTCTGGATGTTGTTTTACAAATMTATTCTTTATGATTTATGTAGCTGAACCGTATTACTGAAAGTTTTGCAGATATCTTCTCCTGCTCCCAGACAACTACTGCTCATTTTTCCAGAGTGCCTCTTGTGAGTGAAAGAGGGTGGGGATGGGTCAGCGGTAACAAAAATMCATAAAAAGGAATGAGTCACATTTGGATGAATCAGTATGTTTTACATCYGATGAAAGCAAGATTGGTAACCAATAAATTGAACAATATTGTGGTAATTTAGTGATATTTCCACAGTTGTTGGTCTTGAAATAAAATCCTGAGTCCTTAATGTCTCTGCACTAAAAGCCCTCAGGCAGTTGATCCTGAAACCTTCTTGCTGTGAGGCGACAGCTCTTAACCACTAGTCCACTGAGCCACCCTGTTATTAGATAATCAATGCTTTTGTTTTTCATGCATTAGGCTTTTATGAGATAAAAGAARCAGCAGTTAATAACATGTCTTAACAAAACTCTTCTCTTTCAGTGCTGGATTTTCTGGGATAATTGTCTAGTTTTATTTGAACTTAATTGCGTTTTGGTCATAAAACCAAAGCTCTCAGCTCTGAAAGCAGTGACCCATGTAATGGTTAAAGGACTGTGTCAGTGCAGAGCATCTTCAAGTGAGCTGTGGGGCTGTGGGCAATTTGTCTTTCATATCTCTTATCTCTCATGAACCTGTAGGCGTATATGTCTTGGCAGCAGAAACAAAATGAGCAGAGTGTTATTTCCATTTATATTTTAGTCTTGCATCATGTTTAGAGTGATGCTGTCAACCTGAAAACTGAACTGAATCTACCTTTATGTAATAACACAAGTGTTTGTACAAATACTTTTGAATTACAGATAACTGTTAAAGGCACATCAGATTCAGRTTTAGATATTTCAGTCTTGGTCTTTATTCGTATATTTGGCAATATAACAAATTGTTAGAATTTATACTACTTAACTGCAGTCTTCAGCTTGAAGATCGTCTTTTAAAGATTTAACAGCATGGTGTGATTTAAAATGTGCACAAAATGAGAGGCCTAGCCTTGTTTAATTGAATACGTCACCTGCTCTCTGATTCTCCAGCTGTCACTGTACAATAGGCAAGGGGTACAGCCTGGACAGAGATTAAAATTCATATAATCAAACCTTGACAATAATATTGTGTTTAAGAATAAAACAAAAAAGGGTTGAAAAGCAAAACAACTAGACGTCTAATCTGTGGCTGAAAATGTTCCTGTTTCCACATGGGAGGCTTTGTCAGTTCATAAAATGTCTGAGTGTGGTGTTCTGCACTGAGAGGCCTCGTTAGTGCTTAGATTCACATGAGATGAGACTAAAACTACTCAGCCCTCTCAATGGAGAGTCATTRTGTAGGTAATGTTGCTCGCTGTGGCAATCATCCTGAACTGAGTTCACACCAGTTGTAGATGTGAATCCATTGTTTACATTTTGATAGTCATTAAACTTTGYCCAGTGGATCATGAGATATTTTRCTAACAGRCACATGAAYCCATGCACACATCCAAGCATGGGCTAAAACAGGCAAATGCAGTATTAGCTTATAACAGGTTTGCAAAGAATATACACTGTATAAGTTCAGACTACACCACTAAAAATACTTTTTTTCACCAAATATTAAAGAAAAGTCTTACAGCTTGAAATGTTTTGTTCTAACCTCTTATATATAATCAATATAATGATCCTGCTGTCTTGTTGTCTTTATTTACAGCTGTGCCATACCCTCCACAGCATAAGCTGACTATAAAAGAACTGTTTGAAGATGGTAAGCCCAATTCAGAGCTGCTGCGTACCCACCTTGTCAAAGAGGGCAGGGTGGAGGAGGACGTGGCTCTGAAAATTATTAACGACGGCGCCAACATCCTCCGTCAGGAGAAGTGTATGCTGGAGGTGGAGGCRCCTATAACGGGTAAGCCCACACACCATACACAGTATTTTTTCTTACTTTATGTGCTAAGTTTATATAAATATGTTTGTATGCGTATTTTATTCTTGCCTGACATTTTAACATGCTGATTGACGTATAATGTGTGCTAGCAGTGTCTCCTGACCCATACACTATCATTATTTTCTGCTCTGTATTTGTAGAGGAACAGAACAAAGGGAGACTCATTAAAAGTCCGTCCACAGTTCAGACCTCTCAGGTTGTTGGCCCACTCACCTGTGGCACGGACTTAAACAAGACACTAAATCCCTTTAGGTCTTAGCACTGCTGCTCTTTGACTGACCTTGTTGCTAAAATATAAGTGTGTCCGTTCGGTGTAAGATCTCCTGCACAGGATGGTTCAACAGAACCAAAACATCTTAGAAAGTATGGCAAAGAAAGTAGAAATGTAGCATCTATTCTGTATCTGTTCTGATTCTGTATATCAGCAGCTTTGACTCGTGTCGCATCAAAGAGCTGTAGACCGGCTTATCCCAGCTGGAGAAGTATTATATGTATTATATATGTGCACCTTTTCAGCTCGCCTTTATATGGCTGAGGGAGTTCAGTAGGGATGCCTTAAATTGACTGGTTATTTT